GTGTTAGCCTTTATAACAAAAATAACACAACAACAACAAACACAACAACATAACAATATAACACAACATAACAATATAACATAACAACAACAACACAACAATAACAACAACAACACCAACATCACCATCACCACCACCACCACCACCACCAACAACAACAACAACAGCAACACAACCACCACCACCACCTCAACAACAACAACAGCAACAACAACAACACTACCACCACCACCAACAACAACAACAACAACAACAACAACAACAACAACAACAACAACAACAACAACAACAACGACAACGACAAGTTTGGTCAGAATGCGCAACTTGTAGGACCTCTCTTAAACTGTTTACCAAGTATAACGTTCGCCCCATAATGCACGCCACTCTTTCACAGGGTCAGCCGCAGTCAATGTATTCAGGATTTCAACCATTGAAATTCATGTCACCTTAAAAGTAATATCGGACGGATCTATCATGAAAATGACATAGCCGCTGCGCTGAAACTCATCTATGAAATAAACATTACTCTGTGACTGTGAGCTCTTTGGGTGATTCATTTTTGCTGTTTACTTTTTGGGGGGACGGGGGGGGTGGAAGGGCTTAACTTTGACACACTAGCACATCCAGTGAAGCCAAATACGGCTCTGTAAGACGTCCCCCTATTGTTTGAGATACAATCTCAACAAAGTTGATGCAGACCCGGCAGCACTTTAGTTGGACTGATCATGTAACCAATAGAACCCAAACGGGTAAAGACGGCTTGGTGTTGTCCTGCCAAAGGAGACTACGCATTATATTTTAATGTTTTCTTCTCACAGTCACATGCATGATATTATGCATAATAGCCGAGCGGTTAGGCTACCGGATCCGTAATCGTGAGATTGTGGGTTCGGAGGTTCGGGCTTCAGCTCGATCCGACGCTGTGTCCTTGGGAAAGGCACTTTACATGAGTTTTTCATTTGGCTCGGTTCTTTCGGAGATGGACGTTAAAGTCGGGGGTCCCGCCTCTTAAATAACTGTATTGTGTTGACAGAGGCGTTAAACCTATACCAGTTTGCATTTTCAAAAGTTCCAAACTTCAGAAGTTAAGGTTTCAATTTTTAAAGGGTATAGTTGACTTTTAACTGCCAGACGTAGAGCACTTGTTAATATAGAAGTCCAACTTATGTATGTTCCATAGAGTGTAAATAGACAGACCATTACACCGTGGTTGTTGCTGTACCAAGGGATGAATAGATTAACTCAGAACACCCCCACCCCCACCCCATCTCACCCCCGAAAAGATTTGAGGTTTCAGGAAAGGGTTGGGGATTTCTTTTTTACTGACAATGATATCACGACTAAACAGGCATTTTTCCCAAAGAGCTTTCTGACGTCAGAAATATCTGTCCTGCGTCTGGCACTGGAATAAGAAAAAAGTCCTTCGTTCCTGCACTGAAAGTTACCTTGACGAAATCCATTTTATACACTTTAAAGTCAGCTAGCTTCAGTATAAAATGACATCGAATATGTACAAGACATACGAAGAAGTACAAATGAAATATTGAAATTTACGCCAAATAATAAACAAATGTACTTGGAATTCAATATGGAATGATAAATTCATATAAAATAGTAATTACATTTTAAATCGCAAAAGCGCTTCTAGACTCTTCAGAGACAGAGCAAACGGCTGTAGAGCCAGTGAGGAATTGCCACGAAATATGTAAATAACAGAAGAGACACTTATAATAGTCTAAATCGGCTGGTAGGCACATTTGGGATTATATCTGCCAAATTCTGTGTAGATTTTCTGCAAGGGTGTGAGAGTGTGAAAATAACATTATAATTAGTTGAGGGTAAACGCCCCCTTTTCTCATAACTCGACGACATGTAAACTTCACAAAAGAGAAATATGCATACTATAGAAAATGGTGTTCAAATTCTGTGACAACTAAAGAATAATGATCCCACGCAGGTTCAATAGCACTCAACTGGCTTTTCTAAAATGTGCGTGCTTGTAAAACATATTCTCGTCATATCAATTATTAATATGCATTTTGACAGCACACAACCAGCTTATCTAGAAAGAACGAGCAAAACACATGTCCTTGTTATTATTTCAAATATGAACAAAATAATTAAAATTATTCATGTGTGGAATAAAAAATCTTCAATTTTCGTATGTGCCTAACTTACTCTCTCCCTATACTGCGAGGTACATAAGGCGGAGAGCATGCGCCGCCACGATTGCCTGTCCCTGGCCACCTTCTTCAATCTTGGCGGGCACATGTAGACCCTGGATGATTACCTCATCCTTATTGTGCCTCTGTAATGTCCAGTTGGTCTACTTCTTTTTACTTTTTACAGCTGGTCTCAAATACCACGTCTAATACACAATCATGTCTTCTGCACTCTTAATATTCTCCTGAATATCTCCATTTTCTCCTTTTAAAGCTCGTGTTGAGACCTTCAATTCCAACTCTTTCCAATACTCCATCATTTGAAATAAATTCATTTCCTGTTGTTTATAAAAGTCTTCGTAAACATTTTGTTTGGAAGCTTTTTTTAATTCTCGTTGAGCTGCTTAGTTTGTTTCCAACATCTATGAAACGTAGTCAGTAGAGTCAAAACATAGCTATTATACATAATTAATTTCGTCTTCAGTCAAAATGACTCTAAATTCCAGATGCATCTTTCTTTCATTTTACGAAATTGATCCACGCGTTTTAAGTCTTTGGTGGAACTCGTCAATGCAGTCTGCAGTTTTGGACATAATGCTGTCAACATACTTGAATATACTAATTTCTGAAAGAAGTTCTCCATGAAGAGTGGTGAGAGTGGTTTGTGGAGATGATTGCAGCACTTTTTTGGAAACAATTATTACAAGGCCAACTTTGTGTCCAGCTCTTACTAAATCATTTGTTTTTAATTCAATTTCATGTACTGTGGTGCGTGACTGGCAGATGTCATCCGCAAAATTTAAATCTACCAAAAATGTGCAATTTGTTTATCCAATACCTGTTTCAAAATTTTTGCTCAGTCTCATTACAAAATCATTCCCAATTCATTAAAATACAGGTGATAGTTTACAGCCTTGTCTAACACTAGTATCTATTTCAAAATGTGTCACGAGTTCTCCTTCAACTAGGACACATCAGTTAGCTTTGGTTTGTAATACTCTTTTGAAACGGTTTATTATTTTCGTTCGGAGACATAAATAGCAAGTTCCAGTGGCCTTTCGGTATAAGCTGTCAGATGTTTTTTAATGTCCACAAATATCTAAATAATTGGGACATTCCATTCTTCAATTTGTTCCACAATATCTCTCATAAAAATGCATTTGTGCTTGCACGCTTCAATATTCCTGGAAAAAACCACAAGCCTTTTCACTTTTCATAGTAACAGAAAAGAAAAAGAAATGATTAATAATAGGTATCTTCCCTGTCATCTATCACTCATCGTTTTAAACATTTAGAATTTGGCAAAGGTGGGCACACTGTTTATGTCCTCTATAGGGACTGACTGGGTGGGGACTAATAATATAAAAAAACATATTTTTATTATGACCAACAGGCCTACCTAGAAGAATGAAATAATATCATACAGCAGAAAAACAAGAACAGAGAATAAACCGATAAATGCAAACAGTACTAAGATAATATGTCATAATACTGTTATATTTTATTCCAAACAACATAAAATCATTCAAAGAAAGAGCATGTAAACAAAGAAAACCAAAAAACTACGAGACCAATCGTTCTTATAAACAATTGTGGTTGCTAATTACAACTGAAACATTCGATTTTTGTTTGTTGTTGTTTTTTTTGTGTGTTTATTTATTTTTTTTTTTTTTTTATGGGGGGGGGGGGCATTTTGTAACAAAAATTCAAAGCTCGTTGATCTGTGATATAAAATGTTATATCCGCATAATAAGTACTTTTTGCAAGGCTTGAATCTGTAGTCAGGAGAAGCCCTTTACAACAACATTACAACACATCATAATTTTCTCAAAATTCAGTTAACCACAGCGGTGATCTTGAAGACCCACACCCACTGGCAAGGCATTTTGCTCACAGCGATAGGAGGAACGGAGATGTCCAGCCCTCTGGGACTACGAGCATGGTAGTTGAACAAGGTCGGATACCCCAGCAGAGATACTTTGGTAGCAGAAGATACCTGAGGTAAATCAAGGCTGAGAGTCCCCGTGTCTGGCCAGTGGAAGACAAAAGCGTACAGGGACGTGCCACTGGCATCGGTTTTCTTTGTGTACCTACAACGGGGGAAGGTAGGATAAACATGAGATTCAGAAACATAAAGTGGCAGTGTATCTTACCGTTAAAAATGTAACTGGCAATAAAGACAGATATATACTATCAAATGCTATTTTTTAAAAGAGACACACATGTAGACTGACATTAAATTTGAATACATATACTTACTGACTTTCTACTTCTTTCAATGCGAATATAAAGTTAGAGAGCAAATATACATGAGTTGATTGAGAGAGAGAAATGCTTCATCAGATGTTTTCAGAATCCTAGTAGATTATCTCTGTGGAGGTGTCATCTCTGGCTCAGGGGTCGACGACTAGTTACCCGCCAGTGCTTACGGTCGCTAGCTGCCATTTTACACTTTGTCAAACTTACACTAGTCCATCCCTTGATGTCATCGGTCCACATTGTTCTTTGTTCACCCTTGGCCCTTTTCACAAAATGCATACCGTTCATACACAATTAATAGAATGTTACTCACCATACACCTTTGGTCACAGTCTCATTCTGGTAAGTCCAAGGCCTGGAAGCATAGACACCCTCGCCGTTGACCTTAAGCCAAGACCCCACCTGAAGAAGTCGCTCCTCAAATATCGGAGAAATTTGGCCATGTTTGGGAGGTCCTATATTCATCAGCATGTTGCCTCCGCAGCTGAAAAAAATGATAGCTTAAAACCAAATGTCAACTTACATTCTGTTAAAACTAAGTAAAAACTGGAGATTCACGCGACTTAACAGAGCTCCAAT